CATCCTTCCGAGGTGGGTGAAATGAGGACCCAGACTGTGGGGGCGATATGCTGACTCTGTAAACCGCTTAGAGAGGGCCGAAAGCCCTATGAAGCAGTATATAAGTCTAACTGCTAACTGCTAAATGATCCAGAAGCTTCAGCTGGTGCAGAATGAGGCTGTACGAGCCATACCAGGTACCCAAAGAAGGGCATAAATAACACCTTTGCTCTGTGAAGTGAACTGGGTGCCAGTTTGTTTCCTGGTCCAATTCAACATATTGGAGCCCCACATGGCATACGGCCTGGCTATCTATTGAACCAGCTTTGCCCCATCACAGCAGCCTGTCCCACTTGTTCAGGCAGGAAACGTACCCCATCAGTCAAAAGAATTTCAGCCGCAATTCAATTGTCTTCTGCCCCTGCATTTTGGAACATCTGATCCCCAGTGGTGAGGAAGGGATCCAAAGGGATCAAAACTTGGCTATGAAGAAGCCTTGCATGAAGTCCACAAGTCTTAAAGTTGCCAAGGTTGGAGACCACTGATCTAGACCCATGGTGGCAAACCTATGGCATGCAATAAATAAGTGGGTTGTGGGTTGCAGTTTGGGCCCTCTGTCTCTAAATCACTGATCTAGATCAACCATCTGCATTATCCAGGAAAGCCATTCAAACCATATATCAGAAGTGTTTGTCTAGTCCTTTCATAGAAATCTCTAGGTATGAAGAATCCACATCCTTCATTGGGAGACCATTCCATGCTTGTGCAGCTCTTCATACCCTGAATTGACAGAACTGGTGACATGCCAGATTCTTCGAGCTCATTACATCATCTGTATATTCCAAATGTGGAAATTTTTTAGGATGTGTTCTGACACCGCTCCCTGAACATGACAAATTCTCTGAAGTTGAAGCAATGATTCCTTTACTAGAAGCACCAGCAGCCCTGGCAAAAAGTTTCTCTTTTACAGCAGGCTAACAAGTCTATCCAGCAGGGGGATGAATAGTTGTCTACCACATCTATTCATCTCCGCCCTCTGCTTTTTATCCCCAGAGCTAGGGTGGGGTTTTGCTAGCACCGGCTCTTCCTTCCTAAGGATCGGCCCACGGATTTCCACTGCTTTCCTCTCCTCTGCCTTCTGCGCATCCGTGTGTCAGGCACTGGTGCATTGATAGCAATAGCAATAGCAATAGCAATAGCAATAGCAATAGCAATAGCAGTAGACTTATATACCGC